TGGGAGACGAGAATAGAAAGTATATTTTACTACTTTTCACAGTGTTTTCATGTTAGAGGATTTACTTCAAGTACTTATTTGATTACAAAAGCTTTTTGCATCTCTATCATCAAAATTCTTGAAAATAAACCATTCCAATTCACATTACATATCTAAATTTGTTAGTATACTAAGCAATATTATCATACACACAAATCAAACAACAAGACTTTAGATTGTTGAGAAATTGGTGATTTGTTTGTAGATAAACATATCAACTAATAAATATAAATAATATAATTCAATAATTGCATAAACATAATAATAATATAAACATTATAATTCAACAATAAGAAGAGAGTTAAAATGTAAGCCTTGGGGAATCATGTCAAGGACGTTATCCTAAAGTCGTATTGCCTTCCCTTCGTGTGGTTACTTTCAGCACTATACAGCTCCAAAATAAAATCAATGTGGCTTACTGCCAGTTCTCCTTCCATGGACACGACAATAGGGAAATAAGTGAACGAACCTTTATTGAATTTTCAAAACTATAGAAATATAATATGAAATATTGAGAGTATTTTCCTTTTTTTTTTTATCGGTAAATGTAAAATTCTATTGATTAAAATTCATATACAAATACACCGAGCATACCCGGGTAAAACAAAGCAAATGATTCATATAATTACTCTAGGCATACCCGGGTAAATAGAAATAAAGGATGTACTAACAAAGAATCAATAACCCAACACTAAGGACTCAAAATGAATCAAAACATATGGATACAAAGAAAACATTATTTTGTATACGTGTGTCTTAATTCGTCTCACAATACTATCCAAGTGTGGATTAAGATCTTCAAAAATCTTTCTATTCAGAGCCAACCAAATGTAGTAAATGGTGCTTGCAAGTGCAATCATCTTGGCTTTGCTTTGTCACTATGTCCCACGAGCCTCCTTTTTTATTTACTTTAACGCACTAGCAAGTGTTGTCATAGATCTTCTAATGTTAAGCCACTGTTTGATCCTCCCCCATAAGGACGATGTGAACGAAACTGTAGCACCACGCAATTCATTCTCATAATTACCATGTCCGAATAGATTATGTATTTGTAACGCACATATGATTTACGTGATAGATGTTTGTGCTTTCTTAATGTTTATTTAATGGGTACTAGATAAATAATTTTATTGTTATTGGGATTAATTTTAATTGAAACTAAGAGTAAAACATGTTATTTAATATATGTGTATGATTTTATAGCTTACTATTATTACGATAATTAATCTACCTATGAATGGTAACATTCAAGACTTTTTATATTAAGTAAATTTAATATTATTTAATTTAATTAATAGAAAGTCAATAATCGGGGCATTATCTCGGCAATGGAGCTAATTTGAAAGAGTTTTTATTTGTAAATTTACCATATTTTATTTATCTAAGAATGGAAGTCAAGATTTTACTAATTTAAAATCCACACTGCATAATGAATTACAAATTGGCATTCCTAGGATTAAATTCAATTCAATCCCTCCCAATCATTATTTATTGTTTTGACCTTTCTATAGCTAAATTATTTTTCCTATACTTCTATCCTACACCACACCAAAAGGAGACGGCAGAGAGTTATCGATACTTGAAACTTCATAATTCTTCATGCTTTTCATTAATTTTGAGGTTAGCATTCTATATTTGTTTTATTCTAACTTTTGATTTCCTTAATGATAAATATAAATGCTTATAAATGCTTATAATTAATTGTCTATAAAATATAATTTTTATATTGCATATTGGCCTTTTAGAGATCTATTGGGTTCAAAGAGGCCTTTTTTTTATCATTCTTGATATGAAATACTTATTTTCTTAACTTGATGTCCAATATCTAAATATAACATATAAAGAAAAAGAAATATAAAAATGAAACCACGTGACTATGTACACACTTTGCCGAAAATTGTTGAGATTCAAATGATATGATTTTATAAGCTGAGATTTATAAAAATTATCTATTAATAATAGTTAGAACATGGAGACTTTCTAGTTTATATGTGCTTACATACTCTTCTAGAATAATTGATAGTGTATGTTCATAATTTATTATATGGTTAGTGTGAAATGATGAAGTAAACGAACCTTAGCACATAATCTTATTTTCGCAACTTGCACGCCACAATGTTTATTGCATGCTCCCGTTTAAAACCTTCTATGTAATATATTGTTAAATACGTAATTGTACATCTACGAGTTATAAATAAATATGCAAAAAAAAGGGTATTGATATTTATGGATATGTCTATATTGTTCTAAAAATTAAGTATGTCAGAAATTTCTTATTAAATGGTGATGATTTAGGACTCTTCGACATGTTCATTTTGTAGACCGCTACAAACATCCATGTCTTATATGCTAAAAGTAAATTGTTAAGGATTTCGGCTAAATAAACTTCTCATGATCTTCATGCGCACGTTACATTATTAAACGTATATATATGTCACCAAAATCTGTTATTACGTGATCTTAATATTTGATTATTACGTTTTATGTTATTAATGCTTTTCATGACATATTCATGTATGTCAATGCATCCATAAACATACATGAAATTTCAAGAAATAAAAAATTTTCAAATATCATGGGTCAGTGAATGTTTTTAAAAGATATGTGTCCCTAATATTTTTATTACGATATGTAAGTCTATGTCATGTGAATGGAAAATGGGGCGAGGGGAGCCGGTGTACCCGACTAATGTTCAATGACAATGTTAATGTTAATCGCTTTGCGGTACACCGATAGGACTTGACCAGGTTCCAAATAATAATTACCCCCTGCATTCTGATTGGCTAGGTGATACACCAAGTAAGCTCATGACGTCAATGTTAAGTTTTCAAAAAAATAAAAGCAATGGGTACATATCGAAAAATGCCTTTTGTTTTAATGTAATTCATATGCATATCATAAGTACGCATCATATGTTTGATGTTTGTTTACTGGTGTTAGTTTATCCCACGTTACTCGCCCCCATTTTCAAATGATGAAAACAAGATGATTCCAGACGACCACTTATGATGCGATGGACTCATTACTAATACATTTAAACATCGACTTCTTTTAGAAAGTAAAGTTAACATTTAATCTTATTGTTTTTTTTTAAATTTTATTTATTTATTTAAGTGTAAAAGTTTTCTACAAGTTATGTTCATAAAATGAAGTCAATGATGTTCATTGTATTAAGAAAAATTTAATCGCTTTCGTATTTATGATTTTAAGAGAAAATGAAATGATAATTTTATGGCCAAGTTCCAGCAAATACCAAAGTAAACCCGGCTCAGTTTCACCATATAAGTCGACACCACCAACGGGTTGAGACAACTCCAATACACCACCACCAAATCCCACCTCCGGTTGCTGCAATACACTCACAAAGAGTTGGACAAGATGAAGAACAATAATATGCCCACAAGAAAACCACAAACGTCATATGAAAGAGGAGAAGTCGAGAGAGTGAGTCACAGAGAGAGATTGGACATTCTTCATATGGAGGTCGAGAGAAAGGCCAAGAATATAAGCCAAGCAAGTGATAATACACCACCACCAAATCCCACCTCCGGTTGCTGCAATACACTCACAAAGAGTTGGACAAGATGAAGAACAATAATATGCCCACAAGAAAACCACAAACGTCATATGAAAGAGGAGAAGCCGAGAGAGTGAGTCACAGAGAGAGATTGGACATTCTTCATATGGAGGTCGAGAGAAAGGCCAAGAATATAAGCCAAGCAAGTGACCAAACAAGGTAAGTTAGGTTAGGTTTATTTAGTGGACCAAACAAGGCTAAACTAAAAAATAATGGGCTTCAAATTAATACCATAGCCTTCCAAGGAAATGGGACGAACCGTGAACAAATTGCCTAACAATAATATTTCAAAATGTATTTAGATTTGGAGGTGTTACAAAAACACAATCATACCATTGAAACACAAGTTATAATATGTATCATGATGTTTTAATTGAAAATTAAGAGGTTTTAGTTTGGAAGGTTAAAACTTTTATTCTTAAGTTACAACAATGTTCACGTAAATAATTAACCTCACCCCCTAAATCCTCCTACCAAACCAGTTCCACGCTTGAAATGCTCGCACGGCCTAATTCGTACAATTCACAACGGCTATTACAGCTTTCAATTTCAAAGAGTCCCAACAAAAAGACCAGTAAAATACGACCAAACCAGAATTGAGGCTGTTTGCAACCTTTGAATTGAAGTGATTGTCAAGAGTTCCTACTAAAGAGACTACTATTCAAGTGAATAATGACAGCCTTCAACCGAAGGATTGTTGGGTAGTGTGGAAAGGTATTAAATGCACTAGTAATACATCTCAATCAAATCCATAAAAATCTTGATTACCCACAAGAATGCATAAACAGTTAACCAATTAAATGTTTAATTCAAAAACCATCTTAATGCAAAAACTTAATCAGCGAGGGAACTCATCGTGATTAGATGACTAAACTCAGTTGGCATGGTCGAGTTTTGGACAACTCATGCATAACTTCTTTATCTTTGTGGAAAATGTGTTCAGAGTGCTTAGAAAACTTGACGCAATTCAACTACAAGGACAAATCAGCCAATGACACGGCCGGGTTAAGAGCAGGCAAGGAGATCCTATCACGACTATCAAAGTATGATTATTTGTAATTTAGTAGATGACAAGTTAGGGAATTGGATGGTCACCAAACTATATGTATTGTGTCCTTTTAGTGTATTAAATATTCCTCACTTAAAAATCAAATCCTCATTGACAACAAAACTTCCCCTTTCCCCTAAACTATTATTCAATCAAATTCAAATTATCCAAACTTAATTAATTGTAATCGATCCTTAAAACTCACGAGCATTTTCCTTTCCCCCCTTCTGTCCTGCCTACTCCGGACTCCACCCTATTACATTATTTGCACCTAAATTCATATGCATGAAACTTTACTTTGTGGGCTCTTCCTGTCTTCTTCATCGTAAACATCAAGAATCTCTCTCTCTCTCACTCACACACAAACACACACACGCGCACACACATTTCTTGGTTTTAGTTTTATGCCTACTAACTACATTAGACTATATATCACCATACATTATTCTGGGTTGGTCTTCTTTTCGTTCTTGGGACTATCTCTCACCTTCTCCCATTACTATATTCCTCCCCACATTACAAAATCCCATACCATTTTATTTATGTATCTGTTTATTTATTCATATAATTTACACCCATTGGGAAAGAGACCAAGACTTGTTCTTTTTCTCTCTTGAGGAGTAATTTCTCTCCTCTCCTTTGAAGCAAAGTTGCGTCAGAACTTTTTCTCTTTTTCTTTTATCTTTATTGCTTTTTGGTTTCTGGGTTTCTGTGCGTTCACGTTTCGAGATCCATTGTTATAATCAAAATGGGTTTTGCAAGAATTGGTTTCAGCAATTCCATAGAGCCTCTGAATACCTCATTTCCCTCAAAAGCTGAAATTTTGGGCACTACTGAGGATCGTGATTATGATGAAACTGATGATGCCGAGGTAAAATTCAAGTCTTTTCTGTACAAAATGATCTGGGATTTTGGTTTAGCTTGTCTGGTTTCACCTCGACGGCGCCGGAACTCCGGCGAGGAACAGATGGTTGAGGGAAATTGTGGTGGAAACATTTTAGAGCACAACAAGGCTTGGTTGCTGGCGGAGTCTGGTGGATGCGGTGCAGAGGAACCTCACTCAGTGCACTCGTCTTTTAGGTTCAGTTTCTGCTCTCAGGTGGAACTTGAATCGATGAACGTAAACAACAGCTGTTCTTCCACCACTGTTTTAATGGTGAATTTGGATAATGGATTGCTGTCTGATTCCAAGTCCAGAGAGTTGAAATGGAGAAGAATTGAGTCCTTGGAAAGGAGTATCTCTCCAGTGGTTCACTCCTTGATTAGATTCAGCTATTCAGAAATTCTCTCTGCCACTAGATGTTTTTCAAAAGGTACTTAATCAAGTTTCCTTCAAAATTTTCGGCTCTTTTGTCCAATGATCTTCGTTTTCTTTTTCTTTTTTTTTCCTTTTAATTTTTTGCAGGATTATAACTTATTTTGTTGAAATGAATAGGTAGAGTCTTGGGGAGAGGGGCTTTGAGTTGTGTCTTTAGAGGAAGAGTGGGATTTCTGAGAACTGCAGTGGCAATTAAGCGATTGGACAAGGAAGACAAGGAGTGTTCAAAGGCATTTTGTAGGGAATTGATGATTGCTAGTAGTTTACATAACCAATACATTGTTCCTCTTGTGGGATTTTGTATTGATGCTGAGGAAGGCTTATTTTTAGTCTACAAGTATGTTTCCGGTGGAAGCTTAGAGCGATATTTGCACGGTATCATTCCATTTTTCTAGATCTTTTTTCTTTTTAATATAAGAATGCAGCTTTATTTGTAATGAAAAAATGAACATTTTGAGTGATTTGAGGTGCATTTATTGTGTGCAGAGAAGAAGACGGGTGTGAAGGGTCGTCCTGCACTTCCATGGTCCGCTAGGTATAAGGTCGCCGTGGGGATTGCAGAGGCAGTTGGGTATTTACACAACGGAACTGAAAGATGCATTGTTCACAGGGACATTAAGCCCTCCAACATCCTTATTTCTTCCAAGAAGTCACCCAAGGTTAGTAAAAACTTCATTTTCTTGAACAATATTTTAAGGTTAAAAAGTGATTTATTGATCATATTAGGTGGAAATTAGGTTCATTATGTCCAATATTGTGTAGTTTTTTAATTATTGTAATAATATATGCAGTTATGTGACTTTGGATTGGCGACATGGACTCTAGCACCTTCAGTGCCATTCCTTTGCAAGACTGTCAAAGGCACATTTGGGTATGTGCTCAATCAAGAACCTTCGTGGAAGAAGCATAAATAATGGTTTTGATGTTTCTTACTGAATATAAACTAATTTTTGTTCTTGATAAATCTCTGGGACAGGTACCTGGCTCCTGAATATTTCCAGCACGGAAAAGTGTCCGATAAAACCGATGTTTATGCATTAGGCGTTGTCCTCTTGGAACTAATAACTGGCCGGAAGCCAATTGAGTCGAAAAGAGGACCAGGAGAAGAAAATTTAGTTTTGTGGGTACGCCATTTCTTTTACTTCTGCCTAATTTGCCTCCAGCTCTGCTATGTTGCCTAAATTCATGGTGTTCGTTATATAATAATTGTATCTTAAAGGTGAATATTCTGCCTTCATCATTTTAGGCAAAACCATTACTCCAGCAAGGAGCTGTTGAAAAATTGCTTGATCCACAGCTCAAATTCACCGAAAAGAACTCGAATCAGATTGCTCGTATGGTTCAAGCAGCAAGCGCTTGCGTTAACAGTGAAGAATCACGTAGGCCTAACATGGACGAGATCATTGCAATACTGAGAGGAAAAGATCCCAGTTGCTTAAGCCGAAACAAGGCTATTTTGCCCGGTAACAGTATTGATTCTTGCCCTCAGTTACATCGTTCGAGAAGTGAAATGAAGAGTCACTTCGCATTGGCCATGCTAGGAGTCGAATTTGAGGATGACGATCACATTCACTGCCGGTGAAACACTTGTATGTTTTCAACTTCTTTGGATATTGAAAGTAGGGAGTTTTAGGCTTAGAACCAACCAGTTAGAACTTGTATATAGAATTAGTAGCCTCATGACTGTTTTGTTTGTATAGATCTGCATCTTCTTGGTTGTGCTCCCCGAGGGAGACTGGGATGGCATGATTTCTTTAACCGAAGTGGCAGATACAATAATTTGAGAAATTAGTTTGACAATTCTGAGCTGGGAGGTATATACCATTTTTTATGGTGGCCATGTGCATTTTTCTTTGTTCTTGAAATAGTCTTAATGGTGCCATGTGCAAGTTGCTGCAATCAAGAAATCATCCGACCTTGTACATGAGTAACTCCTCAACTATCAAAGCAATATTTGAAGTTTTAACGAGATGGTTCAATATGGTATCTACGATCCATTTTATGAAAATTATACATGAAAGTACAAAATAAATGTACTGGTATGAAAAAAGATTAGAAGCGAAACACATGAAACAGATTGTGAATAAGATGACGTGAAACTGTAATACAGTTTAACTACGACAACAGATATAGCCACGTAGAATGGACAGGCTACTCGAATTGAAATTGAATATAAATGAAATCCAGATGACATTTTTTGGATACAAAATTAGAATATCTTGGCAATGTCCTTGACTAATCCCCTATTGGCCCTTGCGAAAACTGTAAATTCCTCAAATGAAATGAAACCATCACCATCGGTATCAATTTCAGCCATCATGCGCTGAATTTCTTCAGGAGTGACTGAACCCAGCGTCTTCAAAGTTTCTCCTAGCTCCGAGGATGAGATTTTTCCATCCCCATTTGCATCAAATCTTTTAAAAATTCGCTCATGCTCGGCTACTTCCTGTGGATCGTCGGCCATTTAGGTTTGGATTGAAGATATGACCAGTGAATTGTTGTTTGCCTTTTCTCTTTGAAGTTTTGGTTAGAAAAGTTGGATTGAGGGAGGATGTAGATTGGCTAATAAGGAGGAGATTTTGATGAAGGATACGGTAATCCATGTGAGTCGGGAGGAGTTTGCTATTTTTAGGTACAATTTTTTTTTTTTTTTTTTTAATAGCCAGTAAACGTGTGAAGCTCAAACAGATTTACCCGTTTGTTGCTCATCCTTTCTTTCTTTATTGGTTACATTCCTATATTTCAATCCGAAAATAATACAATCTTCTAAAGTAAATATGAAAGTACCAAATAATCATCCATCATTACCCCCCCCCCCCCCCCCCTTCTAAAAAAAATAGTATTTTTTTTTTTATTTTTTTTTTTCTTCTTATGCGTTCTTCGTCATGATTATAATCATTATGTGGGACGACAATACAAAGAAATAATAATAGATAGGTTTCAATTTTCTTTGGGGAATCAGGTGTGGTATGGACCGCATGGTATAGTACCATTAATGCGATTTTGGCGCATTAAAAATTGTAACTTCAGTACACATGGATTAGATACCTTTTTCTTACCCATTTTGAGTACAAGGTTTTGTGCCGACTAGATTATACAGTATATGTACAATACTACATATAAAAAATAATTTTAAATTTATGAAAGTACGTCTTTCTTTTTTGTGGATGTAGATCTTGAAAAGGATCAAATTGTGTTGGTCCAATGTAGTTGGGCAAGAGACGGCTGTGTTGGGGCCTTCTCTCAACCCTTGAGCCGCCTTCTATTAATATTTTTCGTTCCTTTCGCAATTCGACTATAACTTGCTGGTCAAAAACTGTAAACAACAATGAATCTCGGAGCAAGTCATATTAATCCTCTTGAAAGACTGTAAAGATTAACTCGATCAATAGCTCTACATCTTTAGTTATAATGTGAATCGAAATTGGCTCCCCCTCCCTTTTAACAAAATTAATGGACTTTTTACTTAATTTCTATTTTTCAGTACAAGTTTCTCTAAAGATATGCATTTAAAGATTAAACCCCATCCTTAATTTTTTTTACAACGTATATACTACATTTGGTATATTAAATATTTATTTTCCATTCCATGAAAAGTAATTATTTACGATACTTGAAAGACTTCCTTTAGGAAACAACTATCATCTGATCATGATCATCATCGGAGGTCATGTTCATTAACTCTTTTCATCGGTAGGCTATTCCATCATTTTATTAGGACAATTCGAGAGAAGCTACCATCTATCACATTTCGTAAAATTGAAAGTGAGTTCACATAATTTATCGATAAATTAATAATTTATTCTTCGTATGAAATCTATTAATAATAATATAACAATTTTTCTTGATCCCAATAATATTATTTTATTAAGATTTTACGGTAAAGTTTGAACTTAAGAATTGAAGACTCATAATCTCAAACCAAAGCCAGTCGAGTTTGAGTAGCTTTTTGCTTCGAGCGAACATCGATAGAATGCATCTACTCAAGATTGACTTGGCCCTATCTAGGTCCTCTACCCAACAATATGAAGAGCCAAATCTCAAACAGTTCAGTTGATATTCAATTCTGCATGTTCTTGTATCAATTGAAAGGTTGTGGCACAATGATACAATTGTGTGAGTTGACCAGCTGACTTTTATTTGTTGTTTTTTAAAGTGTTAGCTGGTCCCTTAAAAACACACTTTCAATTTACAAAAATCGTGTTTCTTCTAATGGACGCTCATGATGATGCCATGTGTCAACCCCATGTCCATTGGATGACTGACCATTTGGTGACTCATATAAAAGAGAATCATAGGGTTTGAGACGCGTGATTTTTCTGGCTTTCTAGACTCTTCTATCTGCTCTCCGGCCGTTCGAGTTCATCTTCTTCTCTTCGAAAATTAAAGTTTCTATTTGATTTTCAACACTTTCTCATATCTGGTTTTGTAATCTTGAGTGATTCTTTTTGAGAAGTGTACTGTGTTCTTGTGTGAACCCTATTTGACGTGAGAAGATCGAATCTTCTATGATCTTGGGTGATTCTGGTCTGAGTGCGAAAAGTTCCTAATTTCTAAGCCTTGGTGTGCGGTCAACACTCGCAGTGGACTTGCTGGAGAAAACCGCACATATACATTTGAGAGATCTTCGAATTGATACTGGCTTAGGGCAATTTAATGAGATCCCCTTTTTCTTGTGCTTCAATATTTTCATATTGCAAGTTTTTTTTTGTTGATTAAATCTAATAGTGTTGGAACCTCCTCTTTACATCAATTTCCAGCTCAAATTGTGACAAACCTGTTTGCCTGGCTAAATGATTTGAGGTTCAAAAACAAGAAAATTCCATTAATTATTTGACGTAAAATTTGAAACCTTCTACACAAAACATCTAATTGAGTTCAATAAACGTTCAAGCATCACATCTTGTGATGACAACTGAGCCCTCAAAGCTCAATGGCTAACATAGCTTACACTTGGCGTATTGTAATTCCAGTGGATAGAACAGGCAAAATATCATCGCTCTCCATCACTTACAGATAATATTACAATCAAGATTCTAGCATACTTCAAAAAAGAAGAAGAGAAAATCAGATTTAGGAGATGAACCAGTGTTTAAATCCTAAACTAAACTAAAAATTTCAGTCAATCAGCTCCACATTATTATGCTAGATGATCTATAATGATAAATATGAGATGGACATTTGATCAGCCGGCCATGGAATTGCATAGATTTGGAGAAACGTCTATGCTACTGACTTGAATAGGGCATTTAGCACAGCTTCTCTAGTTGGCAAAGCTGGAATTGCACCTCTCTCAGTCACAGTCAAGGCACCACAAGCATTAGCAAATTTCAGAGCATCTCTCAGTTGGTTTTCGTTCTACAAGAGAGTCCAAGAAAATTCAAACAGAAACAGGAATATTAAGAACAGCGTGAAAGGGTCCATCTTTATCATGTGCCATTATCGATGTACAGAAACAAGTGCCTGAACATAAATATTTGAGATGTTCAAATCTTCCAACGAAATACATGAATTTGAATTTTTTTCCCGATGTACTTGATGAAATTTTTGTCATTTTACCTGCTTAATAGAAATGTAGGAACTACCATTGCTATTTCTTCGTAAACTCCTATTGAAATCATGCAAATATATTATATCTATAGAATGGCCAATATGAGCAAGATAATCATCAATATTTAAACGAGCACAAATAGAACTAGTAGTCATTTGATCTGAGCTCTGATATAGAATTGCTTGGCGGCATATATAGCAGTGGGTTGAGTTATTCTATGCTGCTTACGGATCAGACGTTCAATCAATTTGAAATCATAAAACCACTAAGTATTATTCTTAAGGGTATCTGTGTTATTATCTACAGAACGAGAAGTGAAAACGTGACAGTTAAAAACAAATATAAAGCAACAAATTTCATTAACAGTACACAACTCCACAATATGTCTAGCGTCATCTATTGCGTTGTTAAAAAGATAATACCTGAAGCAGTGAGATATCAGCAGCTATCTGTGATAAAATTCCAGCTACAAAAGCATCCCCGGCACCTGTTGCATCAATGCAATCCACACTCAAACCCTTAACTCTTCCATTGAACTCCTGCAAGAGTCAGAACTCCAGGCAGTATCAGATATACTGCTATCACAGGAATGTACTAATCATGGAAAACTTAGGGAGGTATACATTTACAACAAAAAATTTGCTAAAGAAGTGCCTATAACTGTTTTGCAATACAGAAAACACGCATTTAGAAGCACACCTTGGTGTAGTATCTGCAACCATCTGGGCCTTCGGTAACTAGAAGTAATTTAAGATTCGGATGGTACAATTTGCGAACGACACTGTCATCATATGGATCTTCCCCTTGGGTTAAAAAGCGTATCTCCTCCTCACTTATCTGATGAATCATGCCAAAATGCAATTTTATACTTTCATTCCAAAGTCATGGAGTGATGCACATTGGGAAGTTTATGTCATTATGCACTTGTAAAATAATGTGGAGTACCTTAATTATGTCAGCAATGTCCCATATGCTTAGGATGCCTTCTCGAGCACTTTCTGCTGATGGCCACAATGGAAGCCGCAAATTTGGATCATACGATAAGATCACACCAGCATCTTTAGCAGCTTTTGCGGCAGCAATGTGGGCCGATTTGCAAGGTTCTGTAATCAAGCTTATAGAACCATAATGGAAAACTTTGGCCTGGTGAAGGACAACAATAAGCAAAATCAACTTAGTTTCCAAAACAGTAGCACTTGTAAGATTCTCAAGTAAATAGAAATTTGAAAAGACACAAGTTTTCTAAACCAAATGCCCCTCTACTTTAATAATTGAGAACTGGTTGAAAAATGAAGTTGGTTTCTTTCCCCCTTTCATAACTTTCCTTTATTTCGTTAAGCAACAAAATGTTTCTTCCAGCAATTTATCTGTCATCCTCACATACCTTCTTAATCAAATCAAGATCAAGTTCAGCTACTTGAAGCAACATATCAGCACTAGGATTACGATAAAACATGAATTCACGCTCCCCATCCTTTCTGAGTGTTACAAATGCTAAAGCAGTTCGAGCACCAGGGTCAAACCGCATTCCTTCATTGTTCACATTGTTCTCCTTCAGAATATCAGCAAGCATGTAACCAAATTCATCTTCACCCACCTGTACACATACCAAATAAAAAATTGAAAATGATTTCATCCACCTGTCTACAATTTTACAGAATCCTCATAATGTTAGGTCAAATATCAGTTAAACACAAGAATAATAAGGACACAAAATAATGAGTACCTTTTTCATTTCATATTAAATGCCATTACATATTCTAACCTGTGCTTGATGGTGAAGAAGGTAAGCCTAAACGCTTCCCTTCATCTTATGTCTTTTTTTTAAAGTAATTACAATTTTCTTATTCACAATTTGCCTAAAAGGTAAAGCTAATGCTTGTTACCAAACCTTAAAACTCTCGAATCAGCTTGAAGGAAGAAAATTACCCATGCAAAAAACAAAAAATAATAATAATAAATTATTATCAATAATACCTTTCCAATGAAAGCTGATGAACCGCCAAGGCGAGCTATGCCAACAGCCACATTAGCAGGTGCACCTCCAGGAGCTTTCTTAAATGCCGGTGATTCAGCCAAGGAGAGTCCACTTGTGGTTGGGACGAAATCAATCAGCATTTCCCCAAAACAGACCACAAGAGACTCCTCCTTTTCCAATGCCCCATCATTGCTTTCTAGTGCTTTTCCTAAAAGAATTGAGAACAAGGAATTACTCCAAGAAATTCTTGAACTAAAAAATGTCATCCAGTAAAAAAGCCATACAAGAATTGCCTGGCCATCTTTCAAGTTTATTTAAAAATTTAGCAGGCTCTTTTTTAATATGGACACAGACACACGGTACAGTGAAGCATTTTGAACGTCCATCTCCAGCCGTGACAGAACGTACAGCTATTATTTCTTTACCTTTCCTAAATCCAGGCGACTGAGCCTAGTGGTGCTTGCGGCTTTTTCTATTTCAGCTTGGATTAAAAATATTCAATGAGAAACGAAAACTTTGTACTTTCTCTAATAGCTTAAGCTTTTAGATAATATGATATCGTCTCACCACCGTACATTTACGATAATTTCACTAACACTTTATGAATAAATGAATCCTGTGTGATATTACTGCTGAGTGCTTTAACCCTACTCCTGGTTAAAATCGATCCTCTCGCATACTTCCTCAATCCTCATGAGGTGGAACAGTCAATGCCTGTCCCATAGACAATAGGGACTGGGGTGTGGCAAACTGGCAATTAGTTGACTAGAATTGACCTGCTTCATCTTGGATACTTTTTCGGTTTTTCCTTTTGAAACTGAAAAACTAATTGACATTCTTCAATCAACTAAACTGTGTTCCAAGTTTCAACAAACATCCCAATTTATCTATACAAGGACACACAATCTAGCTTCGTAAAACAAGAAATTAAGTTCCTATCCCATAACAGATATAAAATTAAGTGAAATCAAGTTATATGGCCCACGTAAAACACTGTCCAGAATTCAATTTGCACGCAAGTATAACTGGAATAGATTCTGACCTTGAAGTCTGAAGCGTGGAAATGAAGCCGGCGACGGAAAAGAGAAAACAGGTGCTTTGACTTTGCGCTGCCGGAGAACAGAGGGCCCAAACAACCTACGGGATGGCCCAGAAGCGTGATAATTCAAGGAGACACAGCCGAAGCTCAAGACAGCCGCGTGAATCGCCATTAATTCAGCACAAAAGAAAATTAAATGATCTTACTTATGGGGAACTTGAGGGCCAAATCAAATTACTGTTTGGCGTTAAATTTGAGGGTATGAAAAGGAAATGTCAGCAGGCGAATTGATTATATCGAACAATAAGAAATATATATTAAAGAATGAGAGATAATTCTTGAGAATTTTTCAGCTGGTTTTTGAGTAGTTGGAGTGGGGGGATGTTGGGTTGGGGTTACTGTGAAGTGCAGCGGAGAAAGATGAGACAAGAGTGTAAGAAGAAATGGAGCGAGACAGTGCCAGGTGTTCATTTCTCTTTGGAGTTTGGACATCTAATGACCTTTCAGAGTTTTTTCGGGTGAAATATATTCCCGGTTTTTATTTCTCTATGTTTCAACTTGTAAATGATCTGTTTATTTTTATATGGTTTTCAGTAATTAGATAATGTGAGTCGTGTGTCTGAAATCACGCCTTAGTAAGGGTGTTTTGGTCTTTTGGATGTGGATGGCCACTTGGCAATGCCCAATTGGCCAGTTCATGTTGACACGTGTTGTGCTAGTTGAAGACTGATCATGGCCGTCCCCTTTCTGATCAAAGGCTGAGATTAATTCCCTTTGACTGATATTGTTTTTGGGATGGGTCTTTGACGGTTTAGTTCATTCATTCTGGAGTTTGAGTTTTCTTTTTATCTCTCTCTATACCCTTCGTTTTTCTTCTTGTACTTGGCTGATCGTCTTGATCTTCCATGAGATCTTAATCTTGTGTAACCCTTGTGAAAGTGCTTTGCTACAGTTTTTTGGAAGCCTGAAGATAGTGGCTGTATTTTGTAGATTTATTGAGTTTGTGAGTTGCGGTTCTTGAGTAGATTAGGGTTGTGATTTGGGAGATCCTGTTCGATCAGTGACCAAAAACTTGTTTTGATTTGGTTCTTGTTATTGTATCCCTTGTGAGGCTATTTTGCATTAGTGACACTGAGCCCCCCAAATTAGCCCTTATTTGGGTGAACTGGGTGATCAATTTTTTGTTGTTCTTGTTCTTCACATTTTCTGAATTTTATTTACTGTCGGTGATGTTGTGATTTTTGCCGAATGATAGATGAATTTTTTTGTTAGATTGAGTGGCTGAAAATATAAGATCATTGAGGTAAAATCAAACCTGGGACCAATAATCCCAACAAAAATGGTATCAGAGCTTGTATTGGAGTTCTTGAGCTTTTTTTGATTTCTGAAAAATTATCAATTGAAAATCATCCTTGGTGAAAAATCAGTTTTTCAAGTGATCTACAATTTGGGAAAAATTAATTGTAGACATTTTTCTTGGGTCATATAGTGAGGTTCTTGAAATTGGGTCTAGCGAAATCTCCAGGGTGCACACTGGTGGATTTTGTAGACATCTTTTGATAAAGATATTTGATATTATATTCTCTTTCAAAGCGCTTATTGATATTGTTTGATCAAGTGTTTCAAGTTGAATTACCGTATTGGTTTCACTAAATTGGAGGTGGACCTGCTGAACTCTGTAGCTTCTTAATAAGGAATTGGATATAGAAACATTAAACTATTGTTCAACAATTTGGTGAGATCGTTTAGATTTTTTGAATTCAAGTTAAAATCTCATACTCGTTTCTTATTGTTTAATGCAAATTGGAATTTGTTGCTGCATGCTTTATTGATATATGTTGTAATCTAGACAACATAATTGTTAATTGACGAATAACATGCTATTGCTGAGTATTACAAATACCCGGACTGCATAACTTTTAATTGACGAATTACTTGTTATTGCTGATTATAATACATGCCTGCAGCACACACAATTCACAGTAATTTGACTTTTTATTTCATCTGTTTAATTCTAAAACTGTTTCTTGACTGATCTGTAAAACCTGTGATTTTTTTTTTCAAAAAACTTTTATGCCTATTTTTGGGAATCTGAGATTGCCAAATGGCCTCAAGTTCACACCACCCTTCCACATAATCTGTTATGAGGTGAAGGTCAGAACTGTCTCAACTCGATGAAAACGGGGATTACTTGATATGAAAGCAGAAAATGAAGGCTATTTTAGTCCAACAAAAGGTTGCTAAAGCCCTTGATGATCCTGAAACATTTTCTCTTAAATTAAAATCTAAACTTGCTGAAATTGAAGAAATGAATGAGACTACATACAGCTCTATAATTTTGCATTTGTCTAATGATATTGTTAGACAAGTTGATGAAGCTAAAAATGCTAAGGATTTATGGACTGCACTTGATGTTCTATTCCTAACTAAAACATTGCTAAATAAGATTTACCTTTTGGAGAAATTGTTTAGTTTTAGGATGGACTTGAGAAAGGACTTATAAGTGAATCTAAGTGATTTTAGTATAATTGTGAAGAGTCTTGCACATAATGATAAAAAATTTGATGATGAGGATTTGGCTGTCATCTTATTGAATTATTTGCCTGACTCTTACAAGGATGTGAGAAACCCAATGAAATACTCGAGGGACAAATTCTCACAAGCAATTGTAATAAATACCCTAAGATCAAGAGATTTAGAGGTTAAAAAGGAATCAAGAGATGCTAAGGAAAAAATTATGTTTGTAAGAGGGAGAAGTGAAAATAGAGAAGATAACTTTCAGGTAAGAAAAGTAAATGGAAAATCAAAGGGGCGGTCTAAATCCAAAGATAAAAGTAACAAGAAGTCTAATGGATGTGGGGAGCTAGGGCACTTTAAGAGAGATTGCTTTGAGTGGAAAATGAAGAAAAATGATCAAAACGATATGGAATCGAACAATATTGCTGTTGGACATGAATTGGACAGCTTGTATGTTATAATTGTGTCTTGTGAAGACATTAGTCAAGATTGGATTTTAGATTCAGGGTGTATATTCCATATGAGTCCCGTCAGATCATGGTTTTATAACTATAGGGAAGTTGAACCTAGCAAGGTTTATATGGGTGATGATAATTCTCATACTGCTAGTGGTATTGGGGACATAGCTATCAAGATGTATGATGTTATTGTTAGGCAATTAAGAAATGTTAGGTATGTCCCTAATCTTGAAAAGAATCTTATATCTTTCGGAATCCTTGAGGATGAAAGACATGACTTTAAATCTCAAAATAATAAACTAAAATTCGTGAGAGATTCCCTAGTTGTAATGAAAGGACCTAAGAAAAATGGGTTGTACTACCTAATGGGTGAGGCAATTACTTCACAAGAAGCTAATCTCCTTAGTGTTACTGATGACAAATCTGAATTGTGGCACAAAAGAATGGGCATATAGGAAATAAATGTTTGAAACATTTAAGTGACCAAAAGTTACTTGGTAAAGGTCTTATTGAACCTTTAAATTTTTGTGAGACTTTGTTGGGAAAGTCTCATAGGGTGAGTTTTGAGGTGGGTTCACATATAGCAAAAAGACTTTTGGATAATGTCCATGCAGATTTGTGGGGGCCTGAAGAGCATCCCAGCTTTGGTGGAAATAAGTACTTTCTATCCTTGGTAGATGATTACTCTAGAAAAATATGTGTTTATCACTTAAAGGCTAAATTTGAGACTTTTCATAAATTTCGAAGTTGGCTTAAAATTGTGGAAAATCAATTGGATAAGAAGTTAAAAATTCTGAGAACAGATAATGGTCTAGAGTTTTGTAATGCGAAATTGATAACTTTTGTAAGCAAAGGGGAATCATGAGACAGAGGATGGTTAAGTACACATCTCAACAAGATGGGGTGGTGGAAAGAATGAATAAGACTTTGATGAATAAGGCTAGGTGTATGTTAGTCAGTTCAGGACTTGCTAAAGGGTTTTGTGCTGAGGCATTATGCACAACAACATATTTGATGAATAGATCTCCATCTAGTTGTTTTGAGTTTAAGACTCCTCAAGAACTATGGACTGGGAAGCCACAAAATTTAGCACATATTAGAGTGTTTGGGTGTATGGTGTATGCATGCCAAATTGAGGGCAAGTTGGTGCCTACGGATATTAGATGTGTTATGCTAGGCTATCCTAAGGGGATTAAAGGTTACAGGTTGTGGATTTAGGAAAACCTAGTATTAAGATCATTAACAGCAAGGACGTTGTGTTTAATGAATCTAAAATGCCTTGTTTAAAATTCAGACAACATGATGACTTTTGAGGAAATTGAATCTCACAAGAAATTTTAGAATGAGCTGAAGTTGGCAAGATATGACTTCACTCATTCAGATGAGAATGAACCTGTAATTGATGAGGTTGATGTATCTGATGGTGAAAATGAAATGAAAACTAACACCCCTACAATTGAAGAGAATTCTATCCATCATTACAAATTGGTTAGGGATAGAGGGTTTTGGGTTAATTTGCCTAATGGTCAAAGAACGGTATAATGTAAATGGATTTACAAACAGAAAGAGGGGTACGACTATATTGAGATATTTTCCCTTGTCATTGAATATAAGACAATAAGATTGTTTTTAGCATTAGTTGTTCAATTCATTTGGGAATGTGAACCACTGGATGTTAAAACATCTTTACTACATTGGGAATTGAAGGAAAATATCCATAAGAGTCAACTCTTAGGCTTTGAGGTGAAGAATGACCTTGTTTGTAAATTGAAAATGCTTGATAGGTTTATTCTTAAAGGATATGTAGATGATGACTTTGAGGGTGAGAAAGATATGAGGAAATCCATCATTGCTTATCTTTTTACATTGGGAAATGATTGTATAAATTTGAAATTTGTGAAAGAATGCATTTGGTTAAAAAGTGTTTTGTGTTATTTGAATTTTCTGCATGATACTTTTATTATTCTCATTGTTAGTCGAATTGCATTGTTGGTTATTATAAATTTTGTTCATTATGAGAAGCAAATATATGTTAAGGTGAAGTTATAAGACAGCTTCAGGTGAAGTTAAATCTTGAAAAAATTCATGTTGATGCATGTCCATTTGATATGAGACTGAAAATGCTTTCAACTGGTATGTTTAAATTTTGGTTTATCAATTCCGTATATTGATAATGGATAATTCTTTTGCAAGTACCGGGCAATGATGCATGGCTTGGCTCGTCATGTGCAAAATTAGCAACTAGAAAGAGTTGGCGATTTAAGAACTAAGGTGAAGGTTGTGAGTCGTGTTTCTGAAATCACTCATTAGTAAGGGTGTTTTGGTCTTTTGGATGTGGATGGCCACTTGGCAACCCCCAATTGGATGGTTCATGTTGATACGAGTTGTGCTAGTTGAAGAGTGATCTTGGCTGTTCCCTTTTTGATCAAAGGCTGAGATTAATTCCCTTTGTCTGATATTGCTCTTGGGACGAATCTTTGACGGTTTAGTTCATTCCTTTTGG